TGAAGCCCTGTCTGGCTTCTCTGTGCCGGAGGTAGTTCGAATTGCCCAGCTGAAGGGGGGTCTGTCCATCCTGGAGCTCTTCCATGGAGACACCCTGGCCTTTAAGGACCTGGCTATGACCTGCACTGTACGCTTCCTAAACTACTTCCTGCAAAAAGAGAACCGCAGGGCGACTGTTCTCGTAGGTGAGAGGAAAACATGTTTTTATTATGTGATAAAACCAGAGAACTAGATGCAGGTGAAAAACTGGCATAAATGTCATCCTCAGGTACGTCTGGGGACACCGGCGGCTCGGCCATCCAGAGTGCCAAAGGTCTCCCTGGGCTGGACGTGGTGGTGGTTTACCCCCATGGACGCATCACTCCAGTGCAAGAGAAGCACATGATCTCTTGCATGAAGGATAACGTCCATGTTTTTGCAGGTACACTCAGAGAAGCTCAAACAGCCACACTTTTTATTGTTATAAAGTTTCTCTGAATCAATGTCACTCCGTCTGTAGCCGACGGCAGCTCTGATGACATAGACCAGCCACTGCGCCGCCTGTTTGCCGACCAGGAGCTTGTAAAGTCTCACGGCCTCATGAGCCTCAACTCAGTGAACTGGTCCAGGGTCATGATCCAGCTCGCCCACTTCGTCTACGCCTACTTGGAGCTCAGTGGGGTGAAGCAGGACGATGTGGGCGCAGCGCTGCCGGAGCTAGAAGTGGTGGTTCCCACGGGAGGGGCAGGAAACATCGCAGGTGGGTTGATAATGTAAGATTTCTTATCCATGTGAGAAATCTTGGTCAGACTGATCTGAGAGCCAAAGTAAAATCACCAGCATTACTTTTTCAAAAAACATTTTTATTTAAAAAGGGAGGTTTCAGTTACTCAGTTTTATTTATTATATTGTCAAAAACAACATCCGCTTATCTGGGTCCTGGCTGCAGGTCAGCATCCTCAGCATCCAGGAAACATCAAGAATTTTTCAAATATGACACAAATAAGGTTTTTCTTTATCGTTACAATCCATCCCGAGCTCCTCCCAGTCGCACGTTCCCACAACACCACATCTAGAAGGTGTTCAGGAGGCATCCTGGTCGGATGCTGAACCACCTTCACTGACTCTTTTGATGTGGAGGAGCATTGACTCCTCTCTAAGCTCCTCGTCCTGTTTCTCAAAGTGTGAAGTTTTTCCACAGTTCGATTTCATACCCATGAAATGAGGTAAATTGATGCAAATTTACCTGATGATGCAGAAAGAAATGGATTTATCTGCAGAGACTATATCACAGACCGTGGATTCTCCTAATGCTACCATCAGTCAGAAAAGGAGGAGGAGCTTAGTGATGTTTGAGCTTGAACTTCATGGATCAACTTTTCTATCAAAACAGAAGCTCAGCTCTCTTCAATGCAGCAGACCTTTGCAATGTCCTGATCACTGCAGACACTCTGTTTGGTCCTGGGGAAAGTTTATCCTACGTCCTAAGTAGTCCTAAGTATGATCCAAAGACGTCTATGAAGAAAAGACCAAGTGAGCACATCACTTTGCTTTGTACAGAATTACTGGGACCTGGGGTCAAGCTCGCAGGTGCACACCCAGTGGATGGGCCACATAGATCTGCAAGGTCTCATGGAAAAATGTGAAATAGTCAGCAAAAAACTCTCTTATTACTCTCTCTTATTTTGAAACTGACGGTTTCCATTAGTCAGTATGTTTCCTGTCTGCAGCACATATATTTTGTTGAGTCTTAAGAAGAAAAGTGTCACCACAGCTGCCAGTAAGACTCTGAAAAGTCTTTTTCTAACACTAACCAAGTAGTTCTGTGATTTTGCTCAGTTCTCACCAGACCCTTCTTTTCTTTCTCTTTCTTTTTCTGTATTAAAGTTAAATCATATACTCTTAGAATTTATGAACAGCAGTAATAATCTTGTCGTTTTGGTCCTCTTTTTTTTCTGTATGTCTGTCTCTCTGTCCTTACACTAGTGCCTCCTTATAAAAGCTGTTCCTGTCTCTTTTCTTTTTGGTCAGCCGGCCTCATCGTAAAGCAGATGGGACTCCCCTTGAAACTGGTTGCCATGGTGAATTCCAATGACATCGTGCACAGGATGGTAACCAGCGGTGACTTTTCCATGGCAGCTAATGTCACACAGACGTTGGCCCCGGCTATAGACATCCAGGTAGAGACACTACACCTGCTCGTGTGTGCAGAGTGTATCTATTTCCTCCAGTCCTCAGACAGCCTGATGGCTTAAGCATTTTATTACAGTGCAGTTCCTCTGATGTTCACTTGAAGCTCTGACAGTCAGTTAAAATGTCCAACTTTACAGCAGATTCCCTCCTTTATATCAGCTGCACAGGGGTAAATCTCACCTGGTCTCACCTGTTTAAATTGTATAAAGGCTTAAAGTTTCCATTATTAGAGGCGTGGCCTCTGACTGACAGGTGGGTGGCGACACAGGTGACATATCTCTGATTTATTTGTCTCCTGCAGGACCCATACAACATGGAGCGAGTGTTCTGGCTGCTGCTGGGCAGAGACGGCGCCAAAGTGAAGACGATGATGGAGGAGTTTCAGCGCTCGCACCGACACTTGCTGCCTGAAAACCACCGCAGACTGGTACCCGTCACCTAGCTGGTTCACGCCAGTGCTTCTCCTCTGAGGGTCTAATCGGATTTTTTCCTTTTCAGCTGTCACAGGTTATGTGGACGGGGACAGTGACAGACGAGGGGATCCTGGAGACCATGAGGAGCTGCTGGGAGGAGAACCAGTATGTGCTGTGTCCTCACACAGCTGTGGCAGTTTGGCATCACTACCACTGTCCTCACAGTGCCCAGCTCAACAGGTCAGACAAGTTTAAATATTCAGTCATATGACCTGTGCTCACACTGTTCTTGAGGCTCTCCTCTGCAGATACTTTATTCTGTGACAGATAATAATCAGCTGATAGTTCACTGAGTCTCTCATCCCTCTAATAAACTTAGTTAGCAGTAGTAATAGCCTGCTGGGAGGCATGTGACATCTGCATGTTAAGTCCACTTTTCTCTCGTTACAGATGTTACATTGCAACTGCTTCTCCGGCCAAGTTTCAGGCAGCAGTGGAGAAGGCAGCTTTGACCTTTGACCTTCCAGAGGCGGTGCTGGCTTTGGAAAAGCTGCCGACCCGTTATCAGGAGCTGGAGCGGAGCCAGAATTGGTGCGAAGACTGGGAGGACAGACTGAGAGAGACAATCCAGTCTGTGAGCGTGGCGAGGAAGAATGGCATGACTTACTACACCTGAGTGGACATTAAACAGTTTTCAGGTCAGGTGACTGTGGCAGCACGTCGCTGATCTCTGAACCTGCTTATCAGGATTTAGTGAATGATATTGATGGCAAAGGAATCATGTGAGCCCTCAGGTGGACTTTGGTCTGTGGTGTCATATGACTTTTGTGTTTTCACACCTGAAACGAAGCCGTCTCTCCACAGCTTCAAACTGTATGTGACAAATAAAATGAAGCTAATTTTTTATAACTTTAACCGTCTCAGCTGCTGTTTTACTGAATTTATCAATGTAGTCATGCAGTCATGGAAACACTAAAAGGATGTTTGAGGCCTTTATGTATTTTTAAGTTATGAGTTGGTCAACAGATAAAAACAGTCTAGGTTTCATGACAGCTCACCCTGAAATGTCAAATCAACATATTTTTGTACAAATACATTTTTGGCATGTCATTCTTCAGCATATTTTGGCACCTACATATCAGGACAAGTACTATTTGTACTTTTGGGGCCTGAAATAATTTTAAAACTTTTGTTTTTGTGTGTCATGTTGAAGAGGAATCAGCTGAAGAAACCTTTAAACACAGCCACTGGTAAAACACTGCCCTCTGCTGGGGAATGTATCAATTAAAATTTCCAGATGGTAATTACAAACACTAAATGTGAAAGTTTTCCAGATTTGAGGGAGGGGAAAAGAACACACACACACCAACAGATAAATATTCCTGTCACTATCACTTTTGTCAAAAATTATGGTAAGATTGCACATTTATTTTGATAAAATATACTCTTTTTGGCTCCTTAAAGCTGCCCTGTGACCAAATGACTGAAAAAAACATGTGGTTTAAAGTAAATACTAATATATGAATACAGAAAGGAAGGTGGAGGAACCTAAATAAATGTAGACATACATAAATATTCAAATATATTTATAAAAATTAGAAATATAGAGTTATATATAAGATTTAGAAATAAATATAAAAATACAGGAATACATATGTGCAAAAATATAAATAAATTAGTTAATTAAACTGCTTATCCAGTGGATGTGGCTATAGATATACTTTATATTAGATAAATATCAGTGTAGTACAGCAAATTTTAAAATACAGATACAGAAATAAATACTTGCATCATTTGTTTTTCTTCTTTTTTTTCTTCCCCCCTTTCTCACCATCTCTACTCCCTTTTCTTTCTCTCCCTCCCTCTCTTTCTTTCATTCTTTCTCCCTGTCCTATCCCCCAGTCATGTCTGTAACAACTGAAAATCAAATCAAATAAATACATAATTATAATAAAGGTCAGTCAAATGGACCAATACAGCAAGTCCATGATGATCTACTTGGTAAAGTAAATCCACTTGGCATCTTTCTTGGCCTTCAGACAACAATTCTGATGGCTAAAGATCCAAACGGGACAGGCAAAAAAAAAGAAGTTTTTATTTATTTAAATATTTATTCATTTTTTTTGTGTGACATTGTGCACTCTTTGTATTTTATTTTATTAATTTGTTTTTAACAATCTTAATTATTCTTGTATTACCGTGGTTATGTGGGTCGCGCCACAGAACTGCTGACCTTGATGTCCAAATAATACACATAATTTTAATTTCTTCATAAGTAAAAAACAAACAAATAAAGGGATGTGGGAGGGGGAAATGGAAGAAAATATTAACTGGCCTGTCTTTACTCAAGTAAAAATGTCGAACTTGTTCCGTGAACGCCTCTCTGTCACGCTCTGAACTCTCCGAGGTTTCCTCAAAGCAACACGAGCTTTGACAGCTCGACGTGCCAACATGGCGGCTGGCAGCTAACGCAGACACCTCCTCCTCCGTCTTTATCGTTATCTTTGTCAGCAGTGAAGAGATCAGCGGGCCCGGGGAGGATTCACGGAGAGGGCCGGTGAGCGGATGTCTGTCCCGGTCTCTGTCTCGCTGCTGTCCGGTACGTGACGCCGGCTTTTTTTCTGAACCGACAACAACAACAACAGGAGGAGCGGAGGGTGGGCTGGTTCAGCGGGGCTTCTTCACCTGTCGACCGGTATGTCTCTCAGGTAAGAAGGCGTACCTGTGACTGCTCGTTGCTGTGCTGGCTTTCCTCCCTCTCGGCCAAGTCAGGTGACCCGTTGGCATTAAAATGGCTCTCAGAGATAAGAAAAGAGGAGCGGGCGGCTGACTGCTGTGACATTAGTCTGCTTAAATAGACTCGTCAGGCTTATTAAGGTTAAGGGTCAGAATGGTGCCACATCACCCTGATACAGGCTTATTTCTCAGAGGCTGTTTTTAAACCCGAGGTTCTCCTAAACAGAGACTCCACTGTCTCTGCTGTAGAGTCACAAGAGAAGGTCTTTTGTTTGTCATCCAAATCTAAGCAGTGGTTTTCATTAACACCTGAACCTGGTGGTGGCTCCACCCATGAGTGATTCATATTAGATAATCCCCTCCACTTATTCTGCTCCATTTTTTTTTTTTTAATTTGGACTGAACTGAATAGCTTTGCATGAGTCACACTTCAAAATAAACCTTCTTTATTATATAATGGTCTTATTTAGCTATTCTCTCTTTAATAGGGCTTTTCAATTATTGGCTGCCCCTCATAAACAGAAGTGGGTGGAGCTTCTGTGTGACTGAGATGGCATGTTAGGAATATCCCCTCTGCCAGAGGCTGATATGATGGGTTTAGACCACCACATCTAACCAAACAGTTTTCAGTAGCTGAATAGAGCAAGGAAGCAGACATCGACATGAATGACCTGCTTCTGTTTTTCATCTTTCATTAAAAACATTCTGCTCATTTCACGCTATGTATTGAGCATATGAGTAGCTTAGCATGCTTCAAATTAAAAAATAATCCTCCTTCACCTTATAAAGTCCTCTTCTGATTGGTTGCTCCTCGTAAACAGAAGTGGGTGGGCTACTGAGCAGGAGTATCCAGGCGGTCTGAGTAGTTTTTGTCACCTTAACATAATCAAGGTGTTTTTAATGATAATTAATAATGCAGTACATATCGAAAAACATGTCCTCAAGCTGCAGAGAGGCTTAAATAAATATATATTTAATATAAATAAAATATATTGATGTACTGTCTGGATAGATGGGAGCAGGATTAGGGGGGTTAGTGTGGAGTGGGAAGGGAGGCTTATTAGCAGCATATCTGGAGACTGTAAAGAAGACATAGAAAAGGATGAATGCTGGGAAACCAGCAACAAAGGCCGAGTGCTGAAAAGCAGCACAGGTGGATAAATTTGGCTTGGCGCCGGCACATTTGGCAGGGCTGAGTATTTGATTATGGAGCTGCTGTCATCCGGTGTGCTTCTGGTCTGACTCCGGCACACCTGAAACCACACAAACACAAAAAGGAGACGCTCAGGGAGGGGCGCAGGTCAACAGGAGTGAAAGGTAGGTGGAGGAGGGTGTGGCACATGAAGCAAAATCTGTAGACGGCCTCTGTCATCTGTTTAACTTCCACCTGCTGGTTTTGGTTTTGCTTTGTGTGTTTGGATGGTTTTGGCCATACAGAGTACTTTTTGCTGTTTACATAAAGACACCTCACAGTTCCCACTGAACTGAGTCAAACCCTGAGGACCGCTGGAGAAATTAGGCGTGATCATGATCAAAAATTGAACTCTTGCTGCACATCCCTACCTCAGTGTTTTCCCTCTTCTTGTGCTTTTATCTGCTTCTCTGTCTTCCTCACACACGTGAGCCGAGCAGCAGGCACCCAGCGGGTATGTGCTGCAGCTGTCTGATGACCACGGTGGCGTCTGGGCGGAGACGCACATTCCTCAGCTACATACCAAACATGCTGGTTCCTGTGAAGTCTCAGGAAGTAGTCTGGGCCCTCAGACTCTTCCTCTCTGGTTTTGCAGGAATTGGTGAACTTTGCTCGTTGTGACCTTTAGTTGTTTGTTTTTTTCTCTGCAGGTAATCTAAGGAATCTCAGATAACCTGCTGATGATGTCATCACCGATGGCAGCAAAGCCATCCACTGCCTCTGCCTCCCAACTTCGTCCCTCCACAGCTCTGGACTCACTGTCCGTGTCTTCCCTCTTAAGCGGGGATCTGGACGATGAAGAAGATGGAGGAAGTCGAGGCGGTGAGGATGAAGGACTGGGAGACCTGGAGGTGAACCCTTATGATGGTTTGCCCTTTTCTTCGCGATACTATGCCCTGCTGGAGGAGAGGCAGCGTTTTCCAGTGTGGCGACTCAGGCAGAGTCTGCTGGAGCACCTCGAGAGCCACAACATGGTCCTACTGAGCGCGCCCAGTGGGTCTGGCAAAAGCACACAGGTAACCACAGGCAGGAAAACGTTTTGGTTTTTTCGAAAATGTAACAAAGCCAGTCAGATCTGTGACTGCCTCCCAGTTGCTCCCGTTTAGAGAATTTCCTAATCCATATTTGCATTCTTGGACTCTACTAGAGACGCTTTGCATGACTTAAAATAATCCATCTTTATCTTACACTTTGCACAGCTACGTTTGGCATCAAAAACGAGGCCTGATTTTTGGTCTTTTCTTTGTAAATTCAAACTGTGTTTTGAGTTTTGCTGGTTTAGAAGCCTGTGTACTTTATGGTGGTTTTACTGGTCTCGCTCATTTAAGATCAGACTGAGCTGTATGTGTCCAGTCTGACACCCCGTCTTTTAACATGACTCGTGTGTGGAGCCAGCCTCAAGTGGACATCAGAGGAACTGCAGGCCTGGAGGTGGTTTCTGTGCCGGGTCTGTTTCTCAGGGACGATCTGGTTATCTATATACCTGCTCCATAGTCACACCCACCCACAGGCTAATGAATGACACCATTAAACCACTGTGATAGATTCACAGTGCTGTGCTGTAACCTGAACGCTCATTTCGTCCTGAAACACCCACAGATCTCATTTCCAGCACCTCCTCCTCCTTCTCCTCCTCTCTGTGAGTCTTTATGTGCTCGTTGCTTCGGTCTCTGTTGATCGGCTGTTTTCTGTGATACCATCACTTTGTCTTTCTTTTTGTGTTACAACCTTTATCTGCGCTGTCTGTTTATTAACCTGAATCTGGGTCACATAGCTGTTATCACTTTGACCTTTGCCCCTCAGTGCGCTCGCTGTATGTCAGTAATTTCTTCTGTTTTTACTCAGTGTTGATGAGTCCTGATTTCCTCTTCAAGGTTTAATTTAGAAGAACAAAAATGTGTCATAAGGGTACATTTTTGTCTATTCTAGGTCTGAATATTTTGCTTATTTTGTATTTAATTCTTTATTCTTAGTTTGGGTCCCCATCAGCTTCCCCCTCCTCCTCTTAAGATCAAATGAAAGCTTTGATATGGATTTAAGCTCAATTTAAGGCCCAGTTTGTTCTCTTTGGTAATGCGTGGATGACACTTGTTGGCAGTTTATTTATTGCTGTTAATAAGGGATGGATGTAGCCATGGTGATGTCACCCACTGGTTTCTGCACCTTTTGAAGATGACTAAATGTAGGTCATGTGCAGGTTTTGGGACTTGTGCACCGGTTTCTTGTGGTGTCTGAGGTCATGCAGCATGCAGGTGGTTGTCTGGTCGCAGGCATGGCAGGCTCAGTGAGCAGACTTGACTAGCAGACGAGGGCAAATTCAAACAAGAGAACCAATCACAAGCAGCACTCAGAATTTGAATGCTTACAGCCAAATGACAGCAGTCCATCCAAAACCTCACGATGTTGCACAAGTATAGTGTGAATTATAGGCTTTGAAGAACTTTATTAAGTCTAAAAACATTGTGTGACCTCTGTCCTCCCATGTGCTCACTGCAGGTTCCTCAGTGGTGCGTGGAGTATGCGCTCTCCTACGAGTTCTCTCATGGCCTCGTGTGCTGCTCGCAGCCTCACTCGGTGGCGGCGGTGAGTCTGGCCCTGCGCGTGGCCGATGAGATGGACCTCAGCCTGGGTCTGGAGGTCGGCTACAGAGTGCCCAACGATGATGGCTGCACGCCTGACACCATGCTCAGGTTAGATCGTTTTGAAATCTTACGCTGTTTTCAAAGTAATTTCATTTCTGTAGTGGCAAATAAAAAGTATTCAGATTACTCTGAAATTTCTCCTTTACTCTGTCTCTTGTATCTTTAGATACAATATATTTTTAAGATAAATGCTTTTTATTGTGAATTATAATGTTATTTAAAAAATGAGGCACACAGTGCATAGAACAGAGCAGCACTGCTTCTTGTTGTCAGTTTCAAACAATTAGGTAATCGTAAGTAAAAGTAATTAATCTGCGGATTCTTTGAATCTTTGCTTCAATATTTACACTAGATATTGTCTTTCTTCTGCTTTCAAGATCAGCTGCCATCACTTCATAACACGTTTATACTCTAATCCAGCAGGTACAGGCAGTATATCTTATAAGCTTTGGATGATGCCCCTCTGCAGGCTTCCAGAAGGTGATCAATCAGGGGGGTCTTAAAAAGACGGGAGCTGAAATGGCTCGTTTCAGTTAGATGAACCGAGTGGTTACCTAAAGGCTCGATAAAAGATAAATAAGGATTGCTTTGAACGGAGCTACTGTAGCTCGTTCCCTGTTCTCATTTAACTCACAACAAGGAAGCAAGTATCAAATTATTCCTTTTGTTATTCTTTGAAAAGTCTCTGAAACAAACCTGCATGAAACATTTGATCCATGTTAAAGTCTAAACTTCTGCATCTCTGGATTTCTTTGGTTCTGGATGAAAATATTCCTCTGCCTTTCTTCTGCCCACAGCCTCACCATCAATTCTTATTCTCTGTACACCTTTAGTTTCCTCTGAGATTGATCCACGTGTCCTGTTTTGATGCCCTCTCCGCAGGTTTGTCAGCGACACGCTACTGCTGGAGGAAATGATGTCAGACCCCCTGCTGCATCAGTACGGCGCCGTGGTCTTGGACGAGCTCCAGGAGCGCACAGTGCCCACAGACGTGCTGCTTGGCCTGCTGTGTGACGTCTGCCGCCAAAGGCCAGACAACTTCCGAGTGGTCCTCCTCACTCACCCCACTCTCGCCCCTCGGCTTGCCACCTTCCTGGGACCCTCTGTCCCTCACCTCTCCTTGGACAACCTCCCCTCAGAGCCTGCTAATGGAGACCAGGAGGAGGAGGAGGAAGAGGGTGGAGCAGTGGAAAGGAAGGCTGTGAACGTGGAGGTGGAGACACTGTACAGGGAGCTTTCGGCGGGGAAGGAACCCACCGCCGTTGCCTGTCACATGGTGCTGGATCTGCACCGGAGAGGAGAGGAAGGAGACGTGATGGTGTTTCTGGCCAGTGCACAGGTACACAAGTAAACAGCCACGGAGAAGAAAGTAGATCCTCCGAGGTTTTTTGTGACAGAATATCTTTAAAAATTAATCTCCACATCAGCAGGCATGAAAATAATTTAAATACAACTTCTAATGAAGGAAAGCATGAATCATTTAACAAAAACTAAACCAAAGACTGATTTAATAATAATGTACACTATATTAATGCCATAGGAAATTAGTCCTCTGCATTTAACCCATTCACTCAGTGAAGCAGTGGGAAGCCACCAATCCAGCACTTGGGGAGCAGTGTGCGGAGACGGTACCTTGCTCAGGGGTACCTCAGGGTTCGGTGGATTCAATCCCCCGACCTTCCAATCTTGGAACCACCTACTGAGCTATCTCTGTTTCAAACAAAGTAAACAACACCTGGGCCTGTTGGTACAATGACACCTGATCTTATTCCTTTAACACAGTGTTTAGTTTTTACACTTTAACACAAAGCAAATTACCCAAACCGATCTTCATTCTTTATTCTGAGCTGTAGAGTTTCACCACCTTTGTCCTGCAGAGCAGTGAAATAAGGTCAGCTCCGCCTGAGAGGCGTCTGGGGCTTTGCAGGTGTCTGATGTCCCAGCTCAAATGAAACTACAAATATGCAGAAATCCCTGTGCTTTCTGTACATATTGACCTTCACTTTAGACTCTCATTTAAACTCCCTTTGTGTCAACATTACCACACCTCCTGCTCCTTCACTCACTGTTGAGGCCTTGTCTCCCTCGAGGGTGGTTTAGTTAGGATTACCTGGAGTGGAACAGTGTCAAGTTCTTTTTAAATTGCCACTAAGTGACAATCAGCTCGTCCTCAGTTTGGAGAAGCAACGCTAGAAGAGAAGGGCAGCTGCAGGTGACAGCAGGCCACCTAAAAACATTCACTCTGTTAAGTGTGCTCTTTATTTAGAATATTTTTACTTCTTTGTCTTCTATCAGAGAGCTAAAACCATCAAACCTTGGCAGGAGCATCATTTAACCTCACAGAGCACAAGCTAGGTGAGGGTTTTTTGTGCTTGTTTGTTTGTGGAAGCTGTTTTAGTTTTAGAGAAATGCCCCAAAAGGAACCAACAGCACAAACAAGAGGAAATTGGCAATGGAGGCAAAACCATTTATGTATCAGGTGGTAAATGTTTATTTCTGCTTTAATGTCAGGCACTTTAACATGGGAGAGTATGGGGACTGACTCACTGCTGTAGCTCCAGTGGACATCAGGGGAACTGCAGCTGTTAGTGCTTTTTTCAGCCTGGTGATGAAAACGTGTCCCCTGAATCACACCCTCACAGTGGATTTGATCGTGTCCTGTCTCCTCTCTGTTAAACAGGAAATAGAAGAGTGCGCCACCCTGCTGGAGAAGGAGTGTGTAGCTTTGAGTCCTCAGCTCGGCGCTCTGCGACTCCTCCCCCTCCATGCCGGACTGGGTGGGCTTACCCAGCGGATCTACGAGTCCGACCCTGATGCGTCCACTCTGAGGGAGGACGGCAGCTCTGAGGACAACTCGGCACTGGGAGCTGGAGGTGTGGGCATAAAAAGGAAAGTCATTCTCACCGATGCACTTGCAGAGGCGTCCTTCTCACTGCCCGGAATTCGCTACGTCATCGACATGGGGCTCCAACTAAAAAATGTGAGTTTGTTTTTGTATCAACAGCAATATTTCATGTAAAAGTACTCTTTTTATTATCACTTAATATGCTTTACGCATATTCAGGCCTGTTTTTGAGCTTGAATTTAATTAATGGTTTGTGGCAGGTTTATAATCCACAAATAAGAGCAAACTCTCAGGTTCTGAGGACGATCAGCAAACACCAGGCCGACATGCGCACTCAGAGGGTGAACAGCCACCTTCCAGGTACGCCATCTGTTCAGGTTTCACTCCCACACAAATGCTTCCTGAGGGTTAACAGTTTGCTGAAGAGTTATGAAGCACTGACTGAGCTAATCACAGCTCAAAGACTGAAAGATAAAACTCCATTGGTATTTCCCATAGACTGTAAATAAAAGATGGCCATAGCTGCCATGATGTCACCTGCTGGTTTCTCAACTTTGGTGGTGAGAGTCTGAAGTGACCATTGATCTATGAATTTTAAGTTTGCACATATTCGCACCCCCAGCTGGTCGCAGCAGGTGCAGCCCCTACCTGAGCCGGATTCTGCTGAAAGGCTTCTTTGTGTTAAAAGGAAGTTTTTCCTTTCCACTGTCACTAAGTGCTTGATGATAGGGTGTATTGCAGTATCTACCATTTTAAGGCAGCAGAACAGCTCATCTTTACAGTCGCTCCAGGCTGAACAGTGATAATCAGGCTGAACAGCTGCCGGGTAACTTTAAATGACCTGAAATTGATTTAGTGACAGCAGCTCACTGAGATTTAGTTTAGATGTAATTTTACCAACTGATTAAGGGCAAAAGGGGTGACAAATTCTAACTTTTTTTCCCCCCAGAAATAAGCTCAGTGCAGGATTTGGGGACAGACAGTAACTTCCAAAACCTTTCAGTAGATGATAGCATAAATGTATCAGTGATTGGTTCTACAGAAGTAAAAGAAGACCATTAAACATGAGCAGAATACAGCGGGGATTAAATGGTTTTAACTTTAGGTGACTGTGAGGTGTAAAACAGGGTCGTCAATAAAAGTTTCCATGTAGTTATAGTGCAGTTCCTCTCGGCAGACTGCATGCTGCCATCTTATGGTAAAGTTTGGTATTACATGGACAGGGAGCGGCCTAGCTCTGTATCTTTCTTCACACTCTGCTGGCTGCTTTGGATAATTCTGGGAGGATTTGAACTATTTTTAAACAGGAGTTTACAGAAAATGCCTTTAATATGTCACTTAAATCGACCTGCAGTTTCACTATGGCTGTAAACTGTGACTTCTCTCACTTTTTAGGCCTGTGCCTCCGTCTGTACTCCCAGTCCCTGTATGAAGAGGGGATGGCGGAGGCTCACTGTCCAGGTGTGATGGAGGAGAACCTCAGCCACCTGGTGCTGCTGCTGAAGAGGCTGGATATTGCCGACATGGGGCAGTGCAAGTTCCTGGACAGACCAGGTGACTTTTTGCAAACCTCTTCTGTGCCACAGAGCACACAGTGAAGGAGGTACACGTTTGTACCCATGCTAAGGAGACAGTCTTCTTTAGCTCTGCTTTTTCATGGAGTGGTACTAGTTTGGATTTACCATCATACCCTCCTCTCTCTGCCCCTCCCCCCAGCCCCTGAGGCCCTGATGCAGGCCCTGGAGGACCTGGACTATCTGGCAGCGCTGGACGACGACGGAAACCTGTCGGAGGTTGGCATCATAATGTCAGAGCTGCCCTTGGAGCCGTCGCTGGCGAAAGCCCTGATCGCCGCCTGCGAGTACGACTGTGTCGACGAGCTGCTCACAATAGCCGCGATGCTCACGGGTAAGCAAGCATTACAGGAAATGAAGCCCGATGAGAGACATTCGTTCTACATTGACTCTTAATAAAGAACATTTGATCTGATCTTTGTTTTCTTGTTGCAGCTCCTTCCTGCTTCGTCACTGCAGAGCCCAGCAGAGAGGAGGCTGCCGTCACACACTGGAGGCCTCTGATGCACACAGAGGGAGATCACATGACTCTCATCAATATATATAATGCCTTCTTGGAGCGTACGTACACTTCACCTTCATCACAGATGTACTGTGCTCAGCAGTGATTGTGCAATATTTTTCAGAAGCTTTAGGCAACTTTTTTCCATTAAACAGAGAAATGTAACAGAACAGCCCGTGGACCCGTTTCCATGCTGTATTTGACATTAATAAAGTTGAAGCCTAAAGAAAAAAAAAAAAACCCAAAACATTTTTACTGTTGTCTGGGTACAAGTCCTGAAATTCAATAACTGCTTCTGCTGGTCCCTCTCTGATTGCTGGCCGGCCTGTGTGTGATCACTGCAGACAATCAGGATGAGGCCTGGTGCACGACAAACTTCCTCTGTCACGCCGCCCTGCGATTGGCTGTGGTGATTAGGGCGCAGCTGCTGGAGGTGATGCAGCGGATAGAGCTTCCTGTTTCTCCTCCCACTTTCGGATGCCAAGACAACTGCACGAACATCAAGCGGGCTCTCATCTCAGGCTTCTTCCTCAAAGTAAACTCCTCATTTTAAAAATATTTTTACCCATATTTCTGCTCTTCAACTTGGTGAACTTGTGTAACACTGACTCCTCCTCCTCCTCAGGTGGCTCACGATGTGGACGGCTCCGGTAACTACCTCCTGCTAACTCACCGCCACGTGGCTCACCTTCACCCCTTCTCCTCTTACCTGTGTCGACAGCCGCGGCCCGACCCCCCCAGCTGGGTCCTTTATCACGAGTTCACCATCTCCCGCGACAACTGCATTCGCATCGCCTCTGACGTCCACCCACAGATGTGAGTTAAAGCTGTGAATTGGCTGCAAGATAGTAAAAAAGTGGCTTCATGCAACTTTATTAAAGTGAAAAACATTTTTAATCCCAGTGTCTGAGCAGATTATAATCTAACTTAAAAATCAGACCCTCCACAACTCTCTCAGCTGCCTCGAGCAGCCTGTGAAGGATGAGGGCGTAAAAGAGTCGTGTTTTGAGACGCTGTTGTCCCTTAGTGCTGATTATTATCACCTTTAAGCATCTCTGTTGATGCCTGTCGTGATTCCTCATAGGCTTGTGGAGCTGGCGCCACAGTACTTCCTTGGAAACCTGCCTTCGAGTGACGGGAAGGAGCTGCTGATGGAGCTGCGGCAGAGCCTAGAGCCGCCAGGGCTGTACGATCAGGAGGGGAAGGCGCAGGAGCACGGCCAGAGTCCTAGAGACGCTGAGGGGGGGCAGGAGCCTCACAATCAGCCCAGCACTGAGCTCTGCGTCATCCAATGAGAAGGGAGAAGGGGCGGAGCTTCTCAGGAGAGGATTCTGAAGACTTGGCGGTCTTCTTGATGTGACTTTACACGTGCAACACTAATGTACAGTCCTGTGTGTCTCCTCCTCTGTGTGGCGGCTATGAACATTCACACCTCCTCATTTCCTCCTCCTTTTTTTTTTTTGTTGACTTTATTTAAAAATGAATCTCAAACATTTGCTTTTATTTAAAAAGAGATTTCTATGTTTCTATGAATTTAGAGTTTTAAATTAAAGACAAAAAAGGAAGGAGTGATGAGGGTGAAATACCGGAAGCAATACTCCCTGTTAGTGTACGACCTTTGACCTCTATGCAGACGCCCATGAAGAGGTGCTTCTCAGGGCTCACTGTGATCTGTCGTGATGCTGATGCTTTCCAGCTGTTTTGATACCGTTTTCTTGCTCAGTCTTTTCCCTTTTTAATAGAATTTGTGTCGGTGCAAAAACTGCTTTGAATAAAGTGAAGTTTTTCATGTTTTCAGGATTTCAGCTGAGTGATTTTGCACTTTGTAGCTACCTGAGTTTTAACTTTTAAAGTCGCTTTACTGTAAGATTTAAAACTGAGTTATTAAAGAGAATTTCCTCCTCCAAAGAGTCTGTTGGTCTGTCAGTGAGATTACACATAAATGATGAGGCTAAACCACAGACTGTAAGTAAAAAAGGATGTGCCAACCGTGAGTTCAGCCACTGGTTTTAGGTTTTTGGGCATCGGGGAAGACTGTAAGACTGTATTTCAACAAGAAGCAGGAGTGTCAACTTTGTCCTTGCTCAGCGAGCTGTGTAGATGCATTACTCAGGCAGATAAAATTTACACTGAATGATAAACACTAGTGATGCCTGTAGTTACAGCACATGTATCTCCACTTTTATTGTACATACATGCAGCATATTGCATTACAAGCTGCAGCTTTGCAATCAGATCAATCTCTGCTCAGGGGCTGTTTGCAGAGCTTTAGGGGACTCGGTATGTACATGTCAGCGGACAGTTAAGATGGGAGCATCAGCGGTGAAGGTTTCTGGTGTTCAGTGCTTCAGTGCAGCGTCCCTCATGGTTTGGTACGCAGCCTTGTTCTGCTTAAACATCTTCAGCTCCAGCTCGGTCTGTGTGCGCATCCCCTAAAGTGCAAAAAAGTGAAATCAGTGAATTTACAATTTATTATACCACTTAAAGACCAAACATGTGGGTGCAGTGTGACCTCCAGGTCTTTGGTGATGGCGTGGTTGGGTCCATGGGTGACCATCAGGATGCGGTAGGCCTGACAGATCAGGCTGTGGCCCTCCTCGATCTGCCCTGCATGCCAGTGGGTGACACCTGCCCGCATAATGGCCATACCCAGCTGGGCGTTATTGGGGTGGTACAACTTCCTGTTTCCAAAAGTAAAGGGGGCGAAAGTCATCCAAAATCGACATTTTAGATGCTTTACATACACACTCTAAAGCAATGAGTATATATTATAAATGATTTATTTATTATTTGTAGATTTATTTTATATTAACTCTCAGCTCCAGCAGGATTACAGGCCAGGTTGAAGTAGTGTGTCTCAAGCATTCATTTAAAAGGCTCTGATGTTTAGGCAGATCTGTTATGAAGTGATGGACTGTTTCAAAGCTCAGAAGCAGCAGATAAAAAGCGTTAGAACCTAGCCTTTGTTTGCAACCATTTGAGTTGTGCTCCTCCACATCGAAAGAGGCAGTTGAGGCAGTTTTGGTATCTGACTAGTATACCACCAGGACACAATCTAAGTGAAGTGTAGGACACATCCTACCAGGATAAGGTCCTGGGGCAAACCCAGTATACGCCAGAGGTATTATTTACTCTTTCCTCAGTCTACACCAGCCTCCATGTCCAAGTTACTAACATAGCAACCACACAGCATGATGCTACCACCACCATGCTTTACTATAGGGGCAGTTTTAGCAGATTACAGGCAGGGACTGATTTTTTTTTTTTTACCTCAAAACTGTGTTTTTTGCCTCATCGGGTCTAATAGTCTGGGTCTTTCCAGCTGTTCTAACAGAAGGGCCCTATTAATGAAGAACTACTGAGATGGCTATCCCTAATCTCTTCAGTGGAAGTTTTGTTGGAATAACCAGTTCATCTTTGCTCCACAAACAAGACCTCAGTCACTTTCTCTATGAAGAGTCCTGGTGGTTCCAAACTTCTTCCATTTCACACATGGTTTTAGACCCTAGCTCCCATGCATGACCTACCAAAGTTTAATTATGGAGGTCTGCAGCGAGTTAAGCAGACATCGGGACTCCTAAATGTGCTGTTCTGGTCTGCCTCATGGAAGCGCTTCCATACTGGCCTCACTTCTCAAACCTGGGGGCTATGTTGATCTGATACGGAGTCTATTATCAGCACTAACCTGTATCCCTCCACCATCCTGTGGGCGTAGTCTGCTGCCTTGGCGAAGGACCGCTGGTATGACAGGACCTCGCTGGCGAAGCTGAGCACTCGCAGCTTGTACAGGTTAGTATCTGCCAGGACATTCTCCTGCTTCTGCAGACACTCATAACACAACTTCAGCACCTGAGAGAGGAAAGGAGAGATGCTGACTAGACTGAAAGAGTTAACGAAAGCATGGCAACAGTCATCAAGAGAGGGTTAGGTGGAAGGAAGCTGACAGGGGCGTGGTGTACCTCATTGTAATCTCCCTCAATGCGTGACTTCTCAATCTTCTCCAAAGACTCCTTACTGAAGACTGTTACCTCCTTTACCTTATCCGCAGATGGCTGAGAGAATGAGAGAAAAGTCGAGGTAATAAACTGAAAATACACTTTAAAAACAGTCTAATGTTTGCCCTCGCACTTTGCTGTCTGCACCCGCTGTCATCAGGTCATCCTCGATGTGCTTGCTGCAGTGCTCACAGGTGCAGTCAAAGTGGAAACGCTCCTTCAGCTTCTTCTGGCGGTCAGCCGAAAGGTTCAGGAAGTCCACGTAGCTCACGGTCAGCTCTTCTCCCTCAGGGATTTTCCCCAGAGCCCGTAGCTCAATCCTGGGACAGAAAAGGACCGGATGGTGTAGGTTTCTCAGTCATCCAGGTCATGGTAGTCTAAGGAGCTTGGAAAGAAAGTGACTGGACTTCTTTAAGTTTGGTGAAGACATTTCACCTCTCATTCAAAAGGCTTCTCCAGTTCTAAAACCACGTGGTGTAGAGTCTCAGTAAACCCCAGTGAGGGTTTACGATGGTTATCAACCATCTTAAGGGACAACTCTGAGGACATGACGATGCATGTAAATTGTTTTATAGCGGAGGAAACTGGACGTTGTTACCTATCTGAATATCTTGAATCCTGGAAGTCGATTAGTCCATGTTCACTATGATCTCTGCATACAAGTGTACTTTTAGAGATA